ATATTTGGGGGGGGTACCGGAGCTCGAACTCCTGGCGCTTGCAAGGCAGAAGGCAGAACCACTGAGCTAAATCTCGGGCCCTCTACTTTAAATTTCTGTCATTCCACTTCTCCCTTCTAACTTCACTTAGGAAATCCTCCCTCCAGTCCATCTCCATTCTTCTGGCGACAGTCACCTACACTCCTCCCCCTTCCTTCCATCCTATTCCATCACCCTTTCAGGGGACTAGATTCTGCTTCAGACAGGCGGAATGAAGGAGTTTGGGGCAGACAAGAGACGCATGGAAATCACACGAGGTCAGCCACACTGCAGGGACCAGTGCGGCCCGGAACTACAGCTCCCAGCATGCCATGGTGCCCGGAAGCTCCGCCCACCGCCGCGCGGTGCATTATGGAGGATGAGTCAGGGTCGGGGCACTAAGTCTGGGGCAAGCAGGAGGGAGAGTTAGGAAATCGCAAGGCGACGGCTGCTGGAGCGGCTTGGAGATGCAGACGGCTTGGATGACCCCGAGCGTGGGACGGCAGCTGCTGAGATTAGGGGGCCGAAGGTCTGTACATGACAGGAAGGAACAGGACAGCGGGCCTGGGGAGAGTCAGAACTGAATCCCTCCTCCATACAGGTCTCAGCCCGGTGCTGTCTTTGGGCAGCCCCAGCCTGGCCTTGCCCTGCGACCCTATGCCAGTGGCACCACGCAGGTAAGTACCTGGGACCTTGGGAGGGGGTTGTAGGGTTCCGCCTAGGCCCCACCACACTGCCGCCGGCAGGTGTCTCCCTCTTTATCCCAGTCACCTCCTGACAGTTCTGGCAGTGAAAGTAGGGGAAAGGGTAAGCCAGGGTGCCCTAGAATGGAACTAGGGGAAAGGCACTGGGTCCATCCAACAACCCCCATAGCCAGTTCTTCCCCTGAGCTTTCCTCTGCACACTGGAAGCTCTTTTCCCTGCCTGGCTAACCACCCCTTTATTTTTATCCAGGCTGTTCCGGACAAATCGAATTCTCTCTCGTCTGATGCTTCAACCAGAGCAAAACCAGCCAACGCGGTAGGGGCCAAGGGTCTGGTCGATGCATACGAGGGTAGATCCATGCCAGCGAACTGTCTGAAAAATCTCTTCTCCCTGCCCAGGAATCTAAGTCCTTTGCTGTGGGGATGTTCAAAGGCCAGCTCACCACTGATCAGGTGTTTCCATACCCATCCGGTAAGGAAAGGCATCATTACTGGCTGGGAACAGGGCTCCCAAAAGCCTCACCTAACCGGCCTGTCTTGCCCTCACTCCATCAGTGCTCAACGAGGAGCAGACACAGTTTCTCAGAGAGCTGGTGGGGCCCGTGGCCCGATTCTTTGAGGTGAGGACTGACGCATTCAGGCCCTGATGGGGTGGGGTGGAGATATTTAGGAGCTTGAAAGAAACTTGGATCTGGCATTCTCTGCCTTCCCCAGGAAGTAAACGATCCCGCCAAAAATGACACTCTGGAGCGGGTGGAAGAAACCACATTGCAAGGCCTTAAGGAACTTGGAGCTTTTGGTCTACAGGTGCCCAGTGAGTTGGGCGGTGTGGGCCTCTGCAACACCCAGGTGAGGGGTCTCTTCATTACTTATCAGTATCCCATCTCCAGCTTGGCTCTTTCAGCTCCTTCCTCACCCCTAGGGTCGTGGGTCTTTTCCAAGCAACTGCACTGGGGGCCTTGGGAATGTTTGCTTTCCCAGCTGTGTACATAATCTTCCCCTCCAACAAAGCAGTCTGTATACAGCCTCCTGGGACAGTGGACCTCATTGTTTTACAAGTCCCTGGGAACTGCTTGACAATAGGATAGTAGGGTCTCCCACCATAACCCAAGACAGACACCAGCTTCTTCTGCTGTGCCCTTTTCACGGTCCCAATTCCCTTCTTCACATTCACTGGGTGGAGATGGCCCAGGTCAGGCCCTGCCCTCTTGCCCATACTTTCCTGCTAAGTGCAGGTCCTCATGCAGCCAGTTGCAGCCCCAGATACCTGCTTCCCCTCCAGTATGCTCGCTTGGCAGAGATTGTGGGCATGCATGACCTTGGCGTGAGTGTTACCCTGGGAGCTCACCAGAGCATCGGTTTCAAAGGCATCCTGCTCTTTGGCACGAAAGCCCAAAAAGAAAAATACCTCCCCAAAGTGGCATCAGGTAAGGCAATCCTAAGAGACTGAGGAATGGGGGGGGGTGTCCTGATGTTGGCAGATTAGGCCAGTTGGCATTTAGATGGCCATATAACTGGGTACATCACTTGGGGGAACTTTTGGGGAGGCATTACAGTGTGCTGGTGGGGAAATCCAAAGAAACTGGATACTGCCAGAGGTATTAAGAACTGCATGGGGGGATGGGACCTTGATGCCCACCAGGACTCCTAGTTAAAGGAGCTCTCTCCCCAACAGGGGAAGCTTTGGCCGCTTTCTGTCTAACTGAGCCCTCAAGTGGCTCAGATGCAGCCTCCATCCGATGCTCAGCTATGCCCAGCCCCTGTGGAAAATATTATACCCTTAATGGAAGCAAGATTTGGATCAGGCAATGTACCATTTCTCCTCTCTTCTCCCCTTCAACCCAATTCCAAGCCCCACTGAGCCCTCCACACTCTTAACACCTCCTCATTCTTCCACAGTAACGGGGGCCTGGCAGACGTTTTCACAGTCTTTGCCAAGACACCAGTTACAGATGCAGCCACGGGGGTTGTGAAGGAGAAGATCACAGCTTTTGTGGTGGAGAGGAGCTTTGGAGGTGTTACCCAGTGAGTGGATTTAGGGAGGAAGAAGTAGAACCAAGGAGGGGGCCAGCACTGAGTTCCAGAGCAAGTGGTTGTTACAGATCACCTTGAGGGCAAAGCAAGTGGTCAGCATATTCCCTCCGAGATATATGTTTGGAAGTGGACCAAAGTTTAGGCTCTAGCAGCAAAATCCAACAAAGGGCAACAGGACCTAGTTAGGCCTCTGTAGCCCACATGCTATGCAGAATGTTCCCTGTATCCACTTACAGTGTGGAAGCTGCAGTTCCTCCCTGTAAAAGAAATGGAGAGGCCATTTTTGTTAGTGGCAACCTGTTTATACTTTGGCTTTCTTGCCCTGCCCTGTCACAGCGGGCCCCCTGAGAAGAAGATGGGCATCAAGGCCTCCAACACAGCTGAGGTGTACTTTGATGGAGTGCAGGTGCCATCAGAGAATGTGCTGGGCGAGGTGGGGGGTGGCTTCAAAGTTGCTGTGCACATCCTCAACAATGGAAGGTTTGGCATGGCTGCAACACTTGCAGGCACCATGAAAACCATCATTGCTAAAGCGGTGAGTACCCTGCCTGAATCCCTAGCTAGTCTGAATGAGTCTCAGTGCCCCCATTTCCATGTATCCCTGTTCCCTTGCAGGTATTCCCTACACCAGAGATCCTTCCCCTGCCAGCAGCTCCAAACTTGCTAGTTTAGGTCTCCATCCAGCATGGAAAGAACTCTTGGTTGTGGCCAAAGCCCATCCCTCCAGCGTAAGCCCAGCCCCACTCCTAGGCAGACTGCAAAACCACAGTGGGACACATGTGCCTTCTTCCAGGTGGATCATGCTACTAATCGTATCCAGTTTGGGGAAAAAATTCACAACTTTGGGCTGATCCAGGAGAAGCTGGCCAGGATGGCTATGCTGCAGTATGTGACTGAGGTGAGGGCCTACTACTGTACCCCTCTCCTTTGATTTCTGTGGTTTTCTTTCCAGTCGAGTCAGACTACAACTCCCAGCAGCACCTGGGGCAGTGGGTCTCCAGCTTTACACCAATGCCCTAGGGGATGCGGGGAGGCATAGTCAGCTCAGCTTCTGAAGGGGCAAAGCAATGCTGTTCTGTTAAAGTGCTTCTCAGATATCAGAAGTTAATTCAACCCCTACCCCTACCCCTAACCCACACTCCTTTCAAGAATTCCAGAACCTGGAAGCCCCTGTGACTTAGGAGATCAGATATTTAGATGTGCCTGACCTTTCCATAGAGTTAAAGGGTGACTACAAAGGCCCTGGGGAGGAGGGAGGACTAAGTCAGACCTATCTTGGAGATTTTGGTATTGAGGCTGAGTCTGATGCAGCTCTTTTCAATATTACTTCCCTTGTCTGAACTATGCCAACTCAGTCAATGGCTTACATGTTGAGTGCCAACATGGACCGGGGATACACAGACTTCCAGGTAGAGGCCGCCATCAGCAAAATCTTTGGCTCGGTGAGGACCCAGGCATGATGGGAGGGAGAGTCCAGTTTGGGAACTCACCTCCAAAACCAATTTCATCTAGTATTCTCTCTCTCTAGGAAGCAGCCTGGAAGGTGACAGATGAATGCATCCAAATCATGGGGGGCATGGGCTTCATGAAGGTACATGCTGGTCTTCTGCAATGGATGGCCAGGCAGAGTTGGTAGGTATCTCTCAGCAGAGGCTGATAAAGTGTGTCTTCCTCTCTGCTAGGAGCCTGGGGTAGAGCGTGTGCTCCGAGATATTCGAATTTTCCGGATCTTTGAGGGGACAAATGACATTCTCCGGCTGTTTGTGGCTCTGCAAGGCTGTATGGTAAGAGGGAGAATTGGGGAGAGGGTGTGGAGAGGACAGGGAGTCCTGATTATTGGACCCTCCTCTCCCATAGGGCAAAGGAAAAGACCTCTCTATACTTGGCAATGCCCTAAAGAATCCTCTTGGGAATGCTGGCCTCCTGCTAGGAGAGGCAGGCAAGCAGCTGAGGCGGTAAGCTGGGGTGGAGTGGGAGGCTAGGAGAGGGCAGGACAGTATACAGCAACTGACCAGTCATTGTCCCCCATCTTTGCAGGCAGGTAGGGCTGAGCAGTGGCCTCAGTCTCAGTGGAGTTGTCCACCCAGAGTTGAGTCGGAGTGGTGAACTGGTGAGTAGTTGGGCAAAGTCTGCAGGAGAAGGGCTGATGGGGATGGCCCCTCTGAGCCTTATGACCTTTCCTTTCTCTTCAGGCAGTGAAGGCTCTGGAACAGTTTGCCACTGTCGTAGAGGCCAAGCTAATAAAGCACAAGAAAGGGATTGTCAGTGAGTGCACTTTACCCCATGTCCCCCTCACTGTCCCCTCCCTCAAACTAACCCCACCCTACCCTATCTACCTGACAGATGAACAGTTTCTGCTGCAGCGTCTGGCAGATGGAGCCATTGACCTCTACAGCATGGTGGTGGTTCTTTCCAGGTGAGGAGGCAGGGTTGGTTGGAGGCTGAGCCACAAGTGAATTGGGCCAGGCTCATAGTCCAGGGTTATCTTCTCCTCCTGCTTCCTCATACCAGGGCCTCAAGATCCCTGAGTGAGGGCCACCCTGCAGCCCAGCATGAGAAAATGCTCTGTGACAGCTGGTGTATTGAGGTGAGCCTTGGGACTACTCAGTGTAGGAGGGTGGCTCTCAAGGCACAAGCCAGATCCCCTTCTTCCTTCTCCCTAGGCTGCAGCCCGAATCCGGGAGACCATGGCTGCTTTGCAGTCTGACCCCCACCAACAGGAGCTCTTCCGTAACTTCAAAAGCATCTCCAAGGCATTGGTGGAACGAGGTGGCATAGTCACCAGCAACCCCCTTGGCTTCTAAATACTTCCAAGTAGGACCTGGCCAGGTCACGTGCCTTCTCTCAAGCCAAAGCCAAGGCCTCCTTCCTAGGGACACTGGTTCTCCCTGAAGGGGGGTTTTGTGATCTCAGTACTGTGCCTGCTCTCAGGAGCACTTACTGCCTTACAAATAATAAAGTTTCTCATAAGTCAGAAACTTTGCTACGGTATCTCTGTTCTTTCCATCTGCTGACTGCCTCCCTCCCAAAGAAAGGAGCCAGAGGTATGGGAAGTTTGCCTCTATTGCTTTATTTGGTGTTTTATACAAATGACTAAAATAAATAGGATAACAAAGGCAGCTACACAGCCCTCAAAATACCAGATACTCAATTTCCTTGGACTTCTGTCTAGGGTGCACAGCCCTCTTCCTCCTCCCAGGGTACCACTGACCATCCCCCACCCTGCACAGGGCAGACCTGACTGGGCAGCCGGAGAAGGAATCACATTCTGGGGTTAGAAGGGGCCCAGGAAACAGGGTTTCTTTGTATAAAAGAGGAAATGTCTATTAAAAAATAGCCCCCAAGGGCCGGGGATTTAGCTCAGTGGTGCCGCTGCCTGCCTCGCAAGCACAAGGTCCTGAGCTGATCCCC